ATACATTATACATGTACATGTAAATCTTAAATTTTTAATTTGATATTTTTGTACTAATACCTAGCCTTGTTAATATTAAAATTTTGGTGCTATACAGTACTGAAGTATTTTAAAGTATAAACCTGTTTATATAACTGGTTTTATTCCTTGTTACAGTGATCATGAATCACAGTACAGGTGTGCCAGGAAGGTATCAACAGTGATATGTGTCCATGATGTACAGTGTCTTGAACCTGATTGTAATAACCACGGGTCATGTGACATGGGGGCGTGTTCATGTGAGTCTCCATGGACTGGAGATACTTGTGGATCTGTTAACTGTTCACTGACTGATTGTAATGGACACGGAATATGTATGGAGGGTAAGAGGAAATACATGTACTGTCCTTAGTACATTTTCTGATACATATTGATGTACTTATGCTGTGTAAAAAGTTTGAGTTGATTCCGACTTTGATTTTTCAAGATACAGCCATTTTTAAAAAACGGCCAAAATCTGAAAAGTACCCAAGGCTATAGCCCATGGTTTTTTCCAAAAAATGGCTCCAAAATCACCCCAAATTTTTATTACATTTTCTGATACATATTGATGTACTTATGCTGTGTAGCAAGTTTGAGCTGATTCCAACTTTATTTTTAAAGTTATGGCCGTTTTAATGGCCTATTTTTGAAAAATACTCAAGGCTATAGCCCATGTACATTTTCTGATACAATTTGATGTCCTTATGCTGTGTACATGTATAATTATTCATTATTATCATTATCCTTAGGTTCATGTACATGTGATCCTGGTTGGATCGGAGAACTGTGTCAAAAACGTAAAATAATTTAATATAATTTCAAATTTTATTCTCTCCTTCTCCTTCATGATATAGCTTGTCCTAGAAACCGGTATGGATCTGATTGTAGGTCATATTGTTACTGCTATGGACGTGGTCACTGTCACCCAGTGTATGGTAACTGTACCTGTGATACTGGATACACTGGAGCTCACTGCTGGACTAGTGAGGGGGAGGGAGGGTGGGAGGGAGAAGGGAGGGAGGGAGGGGGGAGGGAGGGAGGGGGAGAGAGGGAGAGAGGGAGGTGGAGGGAGAGGGAGAGAGGGGCGAGAAGTGAAGACAATAATTGTAAAGTGTTGAGTATGTTTGTATTTCTTATATTCATAGAATGTAAGAAAGGTTATTATGGAGTTAACTGTGCTCAGAAGTAAGGCACTAAAAGATTTATTATTTATTATTATTTTATTATTTAAAGGTGTGTGTATCCTGATTGTTCTGGTAATGGACATTGTTCTATAGTCAATGGATCATGTTTTTGTAACAAGGTACAGCAGTTATTTTTATTAGAGAGAATCCCCACGCAATATGTGTTTTTATAGTTGACATAGTTCACTTAATATTGACTTGAATGATAGACCAGTAGGAATGTGCTATAATAACATGCTTACTGTGCACATTCAGCACTATAGTTATGATTCTCTAGAACTTGCACATTTATAATTGTTTTCTCTCTTTTTCTTTCTCCCTCCTTTTCTCAGGGTTGGACTGGTACATCTTGTAATATAATATTACGCCATCATCATCATCATCATTAACTGATACTTCTGATGTTAGTACTGCAGTATCAGTGATGAACTCAATCTCCTCATTACTGTCTCCTACTAATGATGTATCAGTACAGGATATTGAATAATGATAATAAATCTATTGAATTGATAGTTGTAATGGAACTAATAATAGGTGAGAGAAAGAGGAAATACTGTATACCATGAAATTTATGCGACAAAAATTTTTCACAAATCCTGCAATTCTAAGATTTCATAAAATAAATTTTTTTGAATAGCTTTCAAACTGCACCACGTGGCAATAGAGCTGCAGAAGTTTGCAATTTTAATTTTTGCAACCAAGCAAAAAATCATTTTTGTCGCATAAATTGCATGGTATATGGTAGATTAGTAATATGCTTGTATGTACATGAATTGATCATAATATTACTTTCTATTTTTTTTTTCATTTTCTAGTAGTTCATCTCCTCCAGTTAATTACAGTGCTAATGATGATGATAATCAATTAATTATTATTATTATATTAATTGGTTTAAGTACTGTCACTATACATGTTATACTGTGTGCCGTTCACGTATGTTGTCATGGTAACGGAGAGATAAAGTTTAACAAGTCAGAGATAAAGAGAGAACTGATGGAGAGGAGAGAGTGGGAACAGATCATGTTACAGAACAGCAACTGGAATAGCAGCACTGAGGAAGATTAATGTATATTCTTTTGTATATTATATTTATTAATAGATGTTATACCAGCTATCAATTGATAATAATATTCAGTGTTATTGGTGTGTTCCAGTAACTATTTTCATGAGGTCCTATATACCACACACATGCACTGATACACCCATCCTTTATGTACATATACTCCACTTTTTGTATGTTGCTTTCTACAGGAAATGTTTGAAATGACCAAATTTAGTCAAAACAAATTAGTAGCAGAGTAGAGTAATAATATAGTAAAACAAACAATGTTAGATGTGTGTGTATACTAAGTCCATTTATGGCATTCATGAGACAGAAGAATGACAAGAATTCAGTCTCACGACACACTCCCACTAGTGTAGTTTACCATACAGTTACAAAATGATTGATGTCTCTCAATGGAGAGCAAGTATTGGACTGTGGAACTACTGTCAAGCTGCCTCCAGTAGACCAGCTAATGGCCGCCACTCTCACTCATTCAAAGCTGCAGTAGACAGTGAGTCAGACAGTACTGGATATATACAAGAAGAGAAGAGATGTACACTGCCAGCAGTTCTGTTTATTATTGGTTTTATTGTCATTTATTTTTGTGTCCTTTTATTGAAACACAGTTCAATTCCTCCACCAGGTAAATCAATAGCTATACTTCATATGTACATCATACACTGTATGTATCATTAGGTCATTGTTACTGTTATCAAATACAATGTACCACTGGTGATATTGTTACTAATACCCTCCAGTCAGTAGTATTACCTGGAGATAGTAACATATTTTCTATAATGTCTCGTCTCCTCCTCCTCTTATCAGGAGATGTTGAACTCAATCCTGGACCTACTGTTGAAGAAGGTTAGTATACACATATTAATGATTTTTAATTTTTACTATTATATTACAGCTTCTATAAAGCTGCAACAGATACTTCGTTCACATTATGAATCTTTGGAAAGAGCAACCAGAGGAAGTCTGAGCAACATATTATCAAAGCTATACACTAATAATGTTATTACAGAATCAGTAAAAGATTCTGAATCACACAGCTATAGTAAAATGATGCAAGAATTTAATGCTAAGCTCTCATTATCAAAAGACGAATCAGAATTAAAGAGACATTGTCAAGTGTTTCTGGAGTGTATATCTCATGGTGGACCAACTGATGATGCTGCTAGAACATTAGATAGTGAATGGGGACAAGTATTTTATATGGAATCATTGATATCATCTACACCATCACCTTCACCAGTTTCTAATACAGCAACATCAAGTATATAAACTGATTATAATAATTAATGTATCTACAATATGCTTTGCGCTAGATCTACTTAATGATGACCTCTCTACAGCATCACCACCACAACAGTTTTCAAATGTTTCAACAGGTGTTTAACAATAGCATGCATAGTGTATATAGTAATTATGATTCAAAGCTTGTAGTCATTATAAGCAAATGTGACATTGTTTTGTAAAACTAAGAAATTTTTTTTGTTTTAGGTGACACTTCTCATGAAATTAATAACAGTATTGAACTTTTTACATGTAAAGCAAGTGAAGAAGAAGTTTACGAATCATTAGATGATTTACATCAGAATTTTTCAAAATTAGCTAAAAGTTTCAAACTTCTATTGGGAGAAAAGAATAAGCACAACAATCAATTAGTTGCTGATGTATCTGAGTGGCTTATAGAATACATGAAGTGGGAGCATGGCTCAGTAGATAGCAATATTGATGATATCTTTAAGAAGATTCGTCCTTATTATGACTTTCTTGATTGTAAACTTTTACTGGACATGAGCAAAGAGTTCTTAAAAGATGTAACATTTACTGATGGTGGAGTAACTTATAAACTTGTTGATGCATTGCAGAGTCACACTCAGAAGAGTAAGGGACTGCGTACTTCAAATACAGTTTCTACCCTAAAAAAGTTACTACAGAAACAATTTAAGCAATTTGATAAAAATATGGATAATCTACCTTGCATTAATTTGCAGCTGCAAACTTGTTGGGAGGACATAAGTATTGATGGATTGTATGAACTTATTAAAAAGCTACTGCCACAAAAGTACAGACAGTCAATTATTGAACATATTACAATAACAAGTAAATGTGTTGTCATCAAGTTACATATTCTTGACTTCACAGCTGATAGTCTAATAGAATATACTGGAGGAAAGCTACAGTTTATGTGTCTCATTGGTATATTTAGTTTATACATTAATGATCATCCTGTCCTTCAAGAAGAGGAGAATATGAACTTCACCTTTGAACTAGCTCTCCTTGAGGCAGTCACAGCTGGTAATAATGAAGCAGTAGAGTTTCTTCTTCAACTAGAAACAGTTAATATTGATCATACTAATGAAGAAGGCAAGACAGCACTAATGTTAGCTTGTGAAAGAGGACATGAGGACATTGTACACAGTTTACTGTCTGCTGGAGCTAATGTTAACATTCAGGACAATAAAGGATGGACTGCACTAATGATAGCAAGTGAACATAATCACATTTCATTGATTCACATGTTACTACAAGCTAATGCTAATCCTCACCTGACAATATCTGAATCAAATGCTTTAATGATTGCTATATTTAAAATATTCAGAATTGAATATCAACAAAAAGATGGTTGGAATGCTTTTATGTTGGCTTGTCAAAATGGTCACAC